GAAAGACAGCACTCAAAGTACGGGAGCTATAGTCCAGAAACAGTAGGTGATGTTTGCAGAAGAAATGCCTCTGTTTTGCAAAGAAACATAAGTAAAAAATTACAGACTCATGTTGTAATGTTATATCTTTTTCAGTTGTCAATGCAGAAGCTGGAGATGACTGAAGACAACTACTCCTGGACAGCAGAGTTCATCCTCATAGGATTTACAGACCACCCAGACCTGAAGATCCCTCTGTTCCTGGTGTTCTCTGCCATCTATCTGATCACCATGGTGGGGAATCTTGGGCTGGTGGCCTTGATCTTCACGGAACGTCGTCTTCACACACCCATGTACATCTTTCTGGGCAATCTGGCTCTGATGGATTCCTGCTGCTCCTGTGCCATCACTCCCAAGATGTTAGAGAACTTCTTTTCTGTGGACAGAAAGATTTCCCTGTATGAATGCATGGTGCAGTTTTACTTTCTCTGTCTTGCTGAAACTGCAGACTGCTTTCTTCTGGCAGCTATGGCGTATGACCGCTATGTGGCCATATGCAGCCCACTGCAGTACCACACCATGATGTCCAAGAAGCTCTGCCTCCAGATGACCACAGGAGCCTACATAGCTGGAAACCTGCATCCTATGATTCATGTAGGTTTATTGTTCAAGTTAACTTTCTGTGGGTCTCATGTAATCAAGCACTTTTTTTGTGATGTCCTTCCATTATATAGACTCTCTTGTGTTGACCCTTACATCAATGAATTGATGATTCTAATTGTTTCAGGGTCAATTCAAATATTTACCATTACTACAGTCCTGATATCCTATTTCTGTATCCTTTTCACCATACTCACAATGAAGTCCAGAGAGGGAAGGAGCAAAGCCTTATCTACTTGCGCATCCCACTTTCTGTCTGTGTCAATATTCTATGGGTCTCTGCTCTACATGTATATTCGGCCGAGTTCAGTAAATGAAGGAGATAAAGACATACCTGTTGCTGTCTTTTATACTCTAGTAATTCCTTTACTAAACCCTTTTATCTACAGTCTAAGAAATAAGGAAGTAATAAATATGATTAAGAGAACCATAAAAAAGAGGCAATTTTGTAAAATTCTAAAACCAAATCCTTTGGAAAATTAATTTGAGCATTAATAAATCTTTTGATACTAAAACAGCATAAAAGTGCAAGTTTGTAATCATGACATTAAATGATAAAATGATGATGGAATTTGAATCAAATTAGTTCAGAAGGAAAATGGTTTACTAAAATGTATTTCAAAGTCTAAGGAACTAGATTTCATTAGTAGTAAGACAATATAATTTGTCAGGTCTTGTCAAATCCAACAAGTGCTAAGCATACAGGTTAAGACATATTAATGGTAGCTTTCATTCAATATCATTGAAATTTTTCTTGATCCCAGATCATAAACTAAAATCTCAAAGTCATTTTAAGTTGTTTTAAATATTTTCTTAATACCATTGTTTGAAAGCAAACCATGTGCTTGTGTGTTGTTGTAACTTCACTTTAGTTTTTCAACATATTATTAGTTTTGTTCCTGTTTTCCCGTTTTAATATTTATCTTTATTTTATATGTATGATTGCTTTGCCTGCATCTATGTAAGTGCAATGCCTGTGGAGGCCAAAAGAGGCCTCAGATCTCTGGGAACTGGAGTTGCAGAAGGTTGTTAACTAATCTATGGTTACTAGGAACTGAAACCAGGAAGTCTACAAGAGCAGTCAGTGCTCTTAACAACTGAGCCATCCCTCAGGCCCTCAACATATTATTTTTGAATTTATGCTCATATAAACTACTCTGCAACAGTAACATCTTAATATCTAGTTTTAGTTATTTTAGTCCTAAGTTTTCTGAAAGTAGCTAGTTTCTTGCTTACCAACTTGAATTTAAAATAAAGTTCTTTGTTATAGTCTCCATCTGTTCCAAAAAGGAGTTTCTTCGACGAGTGGTAAGAAGTACAATTGTCAAAAAAAAAAAAAAAAGAGGTACAATTGTCTTGTCTATGATGTAAAGACACACATAAACACAGAGAATAAGTGACTGTGAGGTGCCCAGCCCTAAGTGATACATTTACAATGCAACCTCTACACCTAAGGTTCAGGGAACATCATGGAAAAGGGGTTGGAATGAAGGTAGGGTCAACACACCTACTGGTAGTTAATGAATTCTAGACATGATAGGGATACTACCCCTCTGAAATCTCTGTGTATAATGACAAAACCAGTTGACATGCCAACGTAGATGAGGAAAATTTCACAGAGTCTCACCTCAAGTTTAATAGTTACAGACAATCAATGGATGGTGGGAGAGGGACAACCAGTTTGCTACAGGGATAAGCTCCCTAGAGGTTATCTCATTCTGTTAGTAGCCCTAAACACAGGTATACAGGAGCATGTATAACATTAATAATCAAAGAAGAGGACAAGAAATTGGGAGGGAGCGGGGGGCGTGAGTGGAGTTGGAAGAGGACTGGAAAGAGTGGAAATTATGCAAATGCAATACTCATGCATGAAACGCCCAAATACAAAATTTATAATAAGTAAATAAAATGTTCATGTAAATGAAACACAAAAATAAATATATTCTTCATAAAGTAACTTAAAAATTTAATGTTTACTTAAAATTTGCTTACTTGTGCCTTACAAATGACATTTTTATTTTTATGTCTATCAAATTAAGATTTACTCCATATTATCAGTCCTTATTTGTTGAGCCTTAGAAAAGTAATGATACATTCATATTATTAATAAAATACGGAGATGGTGTAAAAGCATAAAAGAGGCCTAAAATTAGTGAAAATTATGAATACCTAAAAAAATTTATCATTTAATTCTTTAGTTTATTCAATCTTTTTGTCATCTAAGAATAAGAAAGCAATGAATATCATGAAGCCAGTAATGAAACAGATACTTTTGTGGTGTTATGAAAGAAGCATCAATAATCAGTTTTGAAACTGATTTCAGGGACTGGAAAGATAGCTCAGCAGTTAAGAACACAGACTGTTCTTGCAGGAGACCCGGGTTCGAATCCCAGCACCTGCTTGGCCGCTAACAATTGCCTCTAACTCCAGTTCCAGGAGATCCGATGGCTTCTTCTGTCCTTTGCGGGCATTGCAAGACACAGGTGCACTTACCTACATGCAGACAATACACTCATATGCATAAAATAAAAATGATAAATACAATATTTGTTTTTTTAAAAAAAGAAAATTAAGCCAGGTGTGGTGAAGCACACCTTTAATCCCAGCACTTGGGAGGCAGAGGAAGGCAGATCTCTGTGAGTTCAAGGCCAGCCTGGTCTATATACTGAGTTCCAGGACAGCTGAGGTTACAGGGAGACCCTGTCTCAAAAAGACAAAAAAAAAAGAAAATTGATTTCGATTTAATACAGATCTCTAAATATACAGCATTAAAATACCATTAAAATACCATTTTATGATCATAAAATATTTAGGCATCATGCTATTTGAATCAAATATTCAAGAAAGAAAACTGTGCTAAAACATATTTCTGTCAGGTAAACTCCTGGGACCACTTCAAATGTTCTATAGGAATATACATGAGTGTAACAATCTAATTAGGCATAGTTTTTGGATATATCCAACAAATCCTAGGAAAATACAGAGAGAGAGAGAGAGAGAGAGAGAGAGAGAGAGAGAGATTCATTACTCAATGTTGTTAAAGAAGTTCTTCAGGCCAAAACACACACCTAAATAGCAGGCACAGTTCAATTTCTCAAATAGCTTTCTTTCATTTCATAACACAATTGGTGGGAAGTAAACTGTTCTGTGAGTGATTTTTAACTTTAGTACTTTTGAGATATTATGTTTAGTTATGAACTCATGCAGAATATCTACTCTCCGATTAAGAATTCTTTTTATTCAGCATTAACTGTTTTTTTTTTTTTTTTGTCTCAAATCCTCTTTATTAGAGCTTCTGTATTTAGATGGTGTCAGTGTGTGGTTATAAATTATGCCCTTCATTATGATATCCCAAAGGATTTTACTTTTTTTTTTTACTTATTTGTCCATTATATATGACACTGAATTTATTAAATCTAGTCATTTTATCAAGACTTTCTCCTAATATCATGACTTGTTTTGTTGGTCATTAGGAACAGCAAGAACCTGGACTGACACCAGTATAAACTACTGATATGCTCATAGCATTAGTAAAAGACGGAGATGATGCCTCAAGTATAAATGAGGCAGGCTTAAAAGGCTAATCTAGCAGTCTCCGGTAGGATTAGCAGGAAGGGCCCTAGGCCCAAGGTGGGAATGGGGACAGCCAGCCTGAGGAGACAGAATGTAGCTGGTCAGGGTTCAGAGAAATGAAAAGGTAGTAGGTGGGGTCCAACTTCGCAAGATAGTCTGGAGGTCTCAGGCAGGATGATCAGGAGGGGGCCAGGGACCATGGTGGTATTCTAGACAGTAGGTGTTGGCTCTGAAACAGGAGCTACACTGCCATTTTCTTGACTTTGCATCAATAGTAAACGCTATCAACATAGGGTATAACTTGCTATTGATAGCAAACACCTGTCCACAATAATGTTTAGATTTTTCAATACTATAATATACTTTTCTTCTTTTCTTTTTCATGAATAAAGTCAATATACACAGCCCACACTTAAGGAATGAGGAGTTGCACCCCAATTCTTTGAGGGTAACATATCTACATAAATTATTTGGAATTCCTTTCCATAGGACTTTGATCTGTACACCCCATTTATTTACTTATTCCATCATCTACTCATGTCTATGTAGATTTTTATATATTTATTTTATATTCTAAGCTATAAGAATATATTACTTTCTTAATTTTGAGTCTCTAATCATTCCATCTTCGATTACTGGGGTTGTTTCTATCAACTTTCCCCTTTAACATGTACTTATCCATACTTCATGTACATTCCTACAGATCCATTCATAAGCCCCTTACTAAGATATTCTAATTCCTGACCTTTAAGTCCATTCTTCTTTTTTTTTTTGAAGACTGAAACTCAAAATTTATTGTGTTAGAAATAATATTAAAATTAATAACAGGATAAAAAGAGCAAATAAACATAAATATATACAGCAATAGATAGAAATTATAATTAAAGAGATTAGAGAGATGACTCAGTAGATAGAAATACTTCCTGTACAAGCATGAGGACCTGAGTTTATACCCCAACACCCATCTAAAATGTCAGGTATGGTCAAGGGTACATCTGTAACTCTAGTGCTGAGGGGGCTAGAGACAGGTGGTTCCCTGAGACTTGTTGGCCATCCGCTGAGCTACAGGATCTATGAAAGATCTTGTCTCAATGGAATAGGTGGAAAGTGAAAGAGCAGGAAACAAGACATTCTCTTCTGGCCTCTTATACATTTGAAAAGATAAAAATGTGTCTGGAGTTGAGGATTTTGTTCATAGATAGAGCACTAGCCCAGCAAGTACAAGACCCTGGGTTTGGTCTTCTGCACTGAAAAGAAAAATCACATACACAAAAATATACCTCATACAAAGTTAGAAAGAAGGAGAAGCCTCTCCATAGCCTGCTGTGAAATGCTGAAAGCCAAAGGTAAATGGCAACTCTTATAATCAGCAAGAGATTATAGCATGACATGTAGAGGAATAGCAATTTCATTAACATCAGACTTCTTAGGAAAACCCACAGAGGCCACAAAGAGATTGGAACACTTGTTGAGCTGAGACAAACAAACGAAATCTCAGCCAAGAACTCTCTAACCAGTGAAAATATTAATAAAGAATGACAAAATAATAATGACATTTTAAGTGAAAAGACATTCACAGAGTGAGACTATTTTCTCATTAAGGGCTAAAGAAAGTTGTTTAGGCTAAAGGAACATAATTCAAGATAAAAACCTAGACCTTCAGAATACAAAAGAGAGCATCAAAAATATTATATATGCTTACATGTCAAAAAGTGTTTTTTCTCTTTGATTTACTTCGCTTAAACATATGGTTGCTTAGAGCTAAAATTATAACAATATTTTATGGGTTTTATAGAATATTTAGATGAAATTCACACTATATGTACTGATTTTCTCTTCTTACTATAATAAATTAGCAAAATAGCAGATTACATAACTGAAATGTATTATCTTAGAGTGTCTAGATCAGA